TGAAATTTTTTTTCGATGTAATTTTCGAAAATAATTCGAAGTATATTCAGAATTTTCATCAATATGTTCAAGATTTATTTTAATACCACATTGTGGACATACACATTCATCTTGTCGATAAATAAAACCAGCAAGAGCTAATTGACGACGAGTTACCAATGGAAAATGTGTTAGACTAAAAAAAAAAAACAAAGATATTATTCAATAAAAAAATAAATAATTACTATTCAAATGTTTGAAGTCGATATTGTTCTGATGAAACAATATGATCAATTTCAGACGTATCTGTTGTTGTTGTTGTTATCATAAACAAATTTGGTATATTTTTTTTGCATAATGAATTTGTCAACATTATCTAAATATATAACGAAAAGAAAATACTAACCTTGAGAACAACAAATAACGATTAGTCAGAATGATGCGTTTTGTTCTTCTTCTCCTATTTTTTCGTTCTGCTTGAGCATAGCTTCACGGTATATAAAACACTCTCTTGAATAGAACGTGACAAATATAGTGTTAGTTTTTTTTTTGTTTGAGTACTTTTGCTACATAATCTATTTAACATTCATTGGCTTTGTTTTTTTTCTAACGGACATGTGCTATATGTTCTGATCAAATGAACTACTACTTTATCAGCGGCGTAAGCAGGATTTTTATGCCAATGAGCAAACTTCTCTTGTGGTGAAAAAGAACCGATGGACGAAAATGGGCAAGGTTTTTATTGATTGGCTAAAACTTTTTTGGCATAACAAAGTACTAATAATGTAAAAAAACATGCATAAGTTAATGTTGAGAAGTCTTCTAATATATATCTGTGCAGCATACATGCACATTTTCCTTACGAATAACGTCATTTCACATCTTTTTTTTTCCTTTATATTTTCACATATACGTACGTCATTGGATTTTCCTTTTCTCTTCTATGTATCACTCTCTATGTATATACATATGTTCGTGTATGTTTTCTTGATCTGTGCTCTTGTTTCTCATCTCTTTGATCTATTCTTCTCTATCTTTACATAGTTAGTGTTTTTTTCAATAAAACCGAACTCATATTCACCCAAACCTACAGTTGAAATCAGAGATGCCAGATCTTCTGATTTTCCTGATTTTTGCCGAATTCCAAATGGTTTTAGATGATGGCTTTATTGGCGAAATTAATTACGACTATAACTCATTAATATTATACTATCAACGAAAAAACGACTGCAAATCGTATTTTTAGTGTAAATTTTGACAGAAGCAAAATAGAGAGCTGCGGTTTTCACTGTTGGAAAGAGGAGATGAAGATGCATCGAACTATATATTATAAGTTTTTCTAATGTGTTTTGTGAGATTTTTTAAATCAATTTTCTAAAAAAAATACTAGCTGAAAAGTGGTTTTTATCAAAAAGGAAAAAGCAAAAAAGTGAATTTTTTTCATAGGAATTGCTAGATGAATCGGCTTAGAGTTGCGACTAGAGTACCTATAACTTCTGAACGATTGAAGCTAAAAATTTGAGCCCTACTCAGTTTTATAGATCTTCAATCGACGATTTCAATGTACACCAGATGATTAAAAATTTACTGTAGTCATCTCTCGAGTACGTTGTTTTTCAAAAAGCTCATTTGAAAACCGTACTGTCACGTCTTGTGCTGCGTATCAATGAAGAAGAAGAAATAGGTCAATATAAGTTTATTTTCGTGTTGAACAGAAACAAAGCAAAAAAAGATAATGTTGCAACAAACTGATGCAATTACCCAAAAGAAAATATATGAAAAAAAAGGAAATACGCAATACAAAGAAAAAAAGAGAAATACGTAATATGAGACTAGACATAGGACAAAGAACGAAACAATATATGTATTATCTAGCTACTCAGAATGTATAACAAAAACTAAAGAGAACCAAAGAAAAGGAAAGAAAACAAATATAGTATTGAATGTATTTGTTTTCACTATATGACACGTAGAAAAATCAGGTCAAATAGCCTGTAACATACGATTCGATGCATCTTTATCTCCTCTTTCCAACGGTGAAAACCGCAGCTCCTTCTCTTGTTTCTATCAAAAGTTACACCAAAAATATGATTTTCAGTCATTTTTTCGTTGGTAGTTACTCATAAAAATTACAATGGGCAAATCGTCAAATGAAATGAGCAATTGCCCATTTGACCCTTTCTTGGCTACACCGCTGTATTTGAAATCTTACAACTTTTTGCATTTCAAATTTAACTCAATCATCTGCCTAAAAAAACTGACTGATTTAGTTTCGTTGAATTTAAATTTAAAAAAAAGTATTACTATTTTTGGTATTGATTTATTTTATCGGCGGCGGCTCAGCCTATCAGCCTTCGCCAATATATATATCAAGGTCAACTGACCTTTCCATTCAACATTTTCCTTTTCTATGATTTCCACCGAAACCAAAGTTGACTTCCACACGATTCCTCTCTGATTGAATAAATAGTTCTTTTTGAAGTCAGGTATTAATTCACAATAGCTCATAGGTTTGATTGATTGCACGATCAGTTCTGGTAACTTAATATTCTAGATTTTCTCTGTTTTTCCTGCTCAAGCAGTTCGATCGACTCGATGAATGTAATGTTTGAGCATATTTGGTAGAATAAAGTCATAAAAAAACAAAAAGAAGATTTCATTTGTATATCTACTGTTTTAACATTCTCAATATCAAGACCACATGCAGTTAAATCTGTTGCAATTAAAATATAAATTTCTTCATTTTTAAATCTTTTTAATGTATCCAATCGCTAAAAATTAATTTCAAATATCCAAAAAAAAATCTCTATTTAGTTGTCTTTGAGAAAGATCACTATATAATTCACCTATTTTAAATCCAAGTAGTCCAAGCATAACATGCATACGATGACATTGTCGTTTTGTTTGGGCAACTGCAATAACACGATAATGAAATGTTTGTGTACGTAAAGCAGCAATAATTGCTTCTCGATCAACTTCATGAAGAACTAATATTTCAATATTTTGTAATGTAAATGATGGTGAATTATGTATATGATCAATTAAACGACCTGACGTTGCAATAACAATATCAGGTTGTAAACGTAATGCTGCTTCTTAAGATTTTAAATCCAAACCACTTAACAATATTTCATAAAAAATATGAATATGGACATGAAAAAAAATATATTAGTTGAAAGATAGATAGTTATATTATGAGTAAATTGAGTTAATTGAAGAAATACTTGAAGAATTTGAACACATGATTCTCGTGTTGGTGCCAATATAAGTACACATGTACAAGATGCAGTTTGATGAAGTTTATAAAGAAGTCGTTCAAGAATAGGTAACGTAAAAGCTATAGTTTTTCCTGAAAAATGAATACAAACATATGGATTATTTTAATTCATCAATCTAAGTGAGAGATTTATCAAAATGTTCATAAATTCATTAATAATCGATAATCGTTTGTAGATAATACTTTTAATTCAATTAGTAAAAAAAATTCTTTTTGTTACGTCCAGGTTTCGACCAGCTCAGCTCTTGAAACTGAGTTGTTCGAAAAATTTTGTTCTGCTTTGGGACCGACACTTCAGTAAAAGAACAAAGTTTTTTAAGTTCGGAAGTGTCTTTCTCAAAAATAGAACGAAAAATGGATCGGACACCTCAGTTCAGATCAGAGAACATTTTCAACAGACTCTCAGATGCGAACTAGAACTGAACTTATTCGATCTCTAGTTATGTCTATTTGACTTAGAATTAATTGCATTCCATGAGTTTAAGTTTCCAATGAACAGAAAAAGTAATATTATTTCTTTAAAAAGTTTTCAAATAAACTAAACATTACATGCACAAGAGATAAATCTGAGTCTTTTATTGAGTCTAATTTATTTTCATAGTTTTTAATTTAAAGGGTTTTTAAAAAATTCACGAGATTTTTTGGGTTTCAAAAGTCTATAAATGATGTTGGCCTCAGTCTTTTTATAATTTTTGTGAAACACGATCTAAAAGCAATGCTGAAGTATAGAAATAGAAATCTGGAATTACATCCATCCTCTCACAGAAACTTTAGCAATCCCTTTGTCTATTGTAACCTGTAGCAGACTTACGAAGGAAGTCCTCGACCTAATGAATCGTTTTAGAATCGAGACTATGTGCTTCATGTAGACTCTAGTAAGTTATGAATACACTGAAACGAGTTCGGGTCCTTAACTGATTATTGCAGAGATACTACATTTTTACGGTGTTTTTTTCGTTAATGCCCCGACTCTTCACCTCAAGAACGATAGAAAAACTCATTAACGAATTTCGACTTGACACTTTCTACAGAGACGAGGCTCACAGAAACAGTTTATCGTGGAATTTTCAGGTATTTTCGTGGTTTCTGTTCTAAGATACAGCCATACTGAAAGCGTATCGTTTGCAGATCTCATATACTTCAACATATTTTATATTCTTATTTCAGGAAATAAGTAAATCAAAAGACCGAAAATTTTCACAATAAACTATCCTCGTTAGAATTAGTTTCTGTACAAAATTTCAAGTTGAAATGGTTTGAGTGTGTGTGTGGACTGATCATATCTCAGCTTTTGCACTATTCATAATTATCATATTATTGAAAGATTATCGATACGCAAGGTTCGATTCATGATCGATGACTAACAATATCTTTCATATTCTTTTTTGTTCAGTTTCTAGAACTCAAAATATAACTTTATTCATTAGAAAACTTTAAATTAATGCTGAACATTTTATTTAAGAACATTATGACAATTCCGATTTTGTTTTTGAAATTCATCTATTGAATCATTTTTCATTTCTTCAAAATTACCACTTAGTCGGTCGACTTAATCGGTAGTTTTCTTTGTAGAAATCTTCACAACGCCAAATTTCATGATTTTTGAATGTTTTACCAACCAAATTCTGACACACAGCATTGATGGCGTATACATTTTCTTTTGGAATGACACAATACGCTTTAGATTCATCAATATTATGCCATTTCACATCTGTATAGTAGAGTTCGAAAAGTTCGTCCACAAAACGGCGATCAATCCATTCATCGGTAGGATTTCGCACAAAAAATACCCCATCGTGTAATTCTGCTTCTTCAGACATTGTTCGGTTCTAAGAAACAGAAATGTTCAAGACTTATTCAACGTTTTTGCGACTTACATTTCAACAGTGAAGTTGCTGTTTGAAAGCTGTAGTAAGCAATGAAGAAATATTCTTGTATTTTTTTCATCATTATAATGACTCAATGTGCGTCGAAAAAATGCTTTCTTTGTTCTCTCAAGACTTTTTAGCAACGATATTCGTGCATGGGACACACATTAGTTTGGAAGAAGACAAAATACGCTAAGCATGTTTTTTTTTCCTCTTTTTCTCTTCTCCTTCTGTGCTGTAATTGAAGGTGCATGTCGAAGCAATTATTTACCATATGATATTACTCATTCTTTTTTCGTCCCTTCTCCCCTTTGTGAGAGAGCACAGTTACAATGGAGGAGAGCAGTAGTGCGATGCTTGCGAAAAAGGAAAACATATTTTTCTTCTATATTATTCTTCTTTACGTTCCTCACGGCAAAATCAGACACGGTGAGTTAAGGTTAGCTTTTGTTGATTATATTACGATCTAAAATTATGTTAAATTTCATAGGTGTAAAGTCTTGCGGATCTAGAAAGTTCGTGCATGATACAGAGCCAAACATGACTATCAACATGGTCGCTTCCCCGATCGCGCACATGGATAACGATGATATGCCCAAAAATTGCTTACAAATCAAGACAATCCTAAATGAAAAATAATACTGGGAGGAAAATGCCGCAGATGTATTTTTATCAACAAATCCATATTTAAATACACTGGAGTCAGCGTGAATCTTTTTCAATCTACCATGTTGGTGGCAATCGATGATTCGACCATTTGACAAGCTCATAGGACTCATCCAAATACTCATCTTGACGCTGCACATTCAACCCTCGAAGATTGCTCATTCAATTGACAAGATCCAAAACATTTTGTCGATGTTCAAATCGAATAAATAGTATATGATCATCTGAGTAACCTACATATGCATTCCATACATCATTCGATCTTCTGTGTCTGTCATCAGTAAAATTTTCAACTTCAGGATGGGGTGTGCGGGTGTGGATGTAGATGTGGGTGGATGTCTTCAATTCATCCACGCCCATACGCACACCCACCCACACCCGCACCCACCCACCCCACCCCACTCTCACTCTCTCCCTTGCATGAAAACAAATACAAAGAAAGATGTCGTTACATCAACTCTATGGTTTTAGTTCGGTTTCACGATTATATTTGATCAGAAGAATTTAACATCATAAATAGTTTCTATCAATAATATATGCTTCATATGCTGCACATATGAGCATTTCAAAATGAGTTTCATCTTAAGTGTATCATCGGATCTTTCATTGAACATTGATTTGATGACTCATGAAAATGTGATCATAGACCATTGAATTATAAACAAGGTCAATCTTTTTATCTTGACTCTATTTTAAAATAGTTTTTAATTAATAAAAGAATTACAGATATTCGATCGAAAATTAAATTATCATGTTCGAATTAAACAAAATTATCATACATCTCTAGAACAACGTGGAATTTTTTGTTTTTCTTCTTTCATCAATTTTCTTTCTTTTCTTTTCAGTTCAAAATGATCTGATTATAAAAAATTGCATGTACCAATTGAAACGAATACTGTATTAAGATTATTTTATTCGTTTTTCTTCTTTCACTTGCCTGTTTTTTATATAAAATCTTTTTAAAATTATCTTTCTTCTATTAATCAAACGAACGATTCTCGATCGTAATATGAGTGAGTGGATGACAATGTCTCAATTGTATGATTTGGATTTTCAAAAAAAAAGACGAAAATTCCTTTTACTTAAATTTTATATGACATGTTTGGAGTATATTTTATTTATTGAAAAAAAAATCAATTCAGATAAATCGTTTAGTTTGCATTCTCAAATTGTTGACAAATGTAAAGAACAAAATACTATAATTAACAAAACAAATATAGCATAATATAATAATCATTGAAATATGTAAAAATCGAATTCTTTTATTTAACATACAGTAATTTGATTCTTTTCTTTAGTGCTAAAATAACTGAATTATGTGCTAATTTAACAATGGATGTTCAAACGAATTATTACATGCTTATGTATGATTTTTCTTTTTTCATTGATTGCTTAATTGGGAAAAAACGTTATTTATTATTAGACTAGAACGCAACTTGGTGAAATTCGAACTAAAACTAAAGTTCAATTGAAAAACAATATCGAACGAAGATAATGGTTTGTAGATTTTTAAAAATAACATATCATTATTTTCTTTTTTTTCTTCTACTATCTGCTGTTGAATCACTTATTGTTAATGATAAAAATAAACTTATTGAATTGAATAAAAAACTTGATCGAGAAATAATTTCTTTTGGTTATTTAAAAAAATCTATTGAAATAATTGCATATGTATATCATATTTTAAATTTTTGTAAATTATATAGTAAAAATCTAATTAAATTATGAAGATATTATTTAAACTTGATAATTTTAAGAAACATTTAGCTAATATACAAACATCGATTATTGAACTCGAAGCCTGACATAGTCATACAAATAAAAGACAAAAAAGAAGAAAATCATATTATTATAGAAATTACAATATTTAGATTATTCATCGAAATCAATAATGGGAAAAAAACCATTTTTTCTTTTTTTTTATTCAACATTTAGAATTATGTCATGTTTATTTTGATTTGATTAAAATAAAAACTCAAAGAATATCCGATGGTTTCAATAAAATGTGTTTACATCATGAAGCATTTTCATCTTTTAATAAAGATCATAAGGTATATATGATTGCAGCGTAACAACTCGATATGAAAATGTTTGTTTTATTTTGATAAAAAAAATGGAAATAGGTTTTATCAATTTTAAGTATGATTCCTCGTTCACATGTTTTATCATCATTAGAAGCTGATTTACAAGAAATTCAACAAAAAATTAGTCATAGAATTGATTTTGATGCATTTTTTAAAGTAGCACAAAATTTTAAAAGCAAATAATAAAGAAATAGAAGATGATATACATGATACATGTTATGTATTTGATAAATATGGTATTATTTGTGTTAGTGTTACTTAATTGAAGCATCCTATGATATCATTGAATGAATAACTAACAGAAGAAGAAGAAGACGAAGTTGATGAATTAACATGTAAACATCATATTGATGCTGATGAACAGTTTGTATCTAACTAGCTAGAAGTCATTTTTTTGAATAATTTCATTCATTTTTTCTCTTTCCATTTAGATGCAACTATGACGATCTTGTATGTATTTTAACCAATAAACAATACTAAAACGTGCTCGATTTTTTTTCAATAATAAAATGAACAAAAAATAATATACATACTGTCTCATAATAAGTACAATTACTTTTCTGTGTAATCTCTATGATTCATACATTTCTCTTTTTTCCTTTTATGTTTTCTTTTAGCTATGTCTATGATTCGACATATTTCTTTCGTTATTTTTGCTTTTTTTCTTTAATCTCTTTACTTGTTATTATTGCTTCTGTTTCTTTAAATATGAACTTAGATATGAATGACAATAAAAGAAAAATTCCTTTTCCTTTGTTTTACCTTCATTGATTTTATATGAATGAAGAAATAGCTAAATTGTTTATCATCATTGTAGTTAATTGTTCAATACATATCTGATGATGCTACAAGGAAAAAACATCGAATTATCATATATTTATTTTATTTGACATCCTTTCATATTTAGTTTAATTTTTTTTTATTTATTGCATTGAGTGATTTATTGTAATACATTCTCATCATGATATAGCTATATAATAAACGATAAAATAATACATGATAATGTTGTTATAATTTCTTTGTCATAGTAGAGGGAACTCGTATTAAACTTCATAGTTATTTTAGTACTAAGTAGATACAATAATTTATTAAAGTTGCGAAAAGTATTCTCCTGTTCTATGTAAAACTGATGAGTTTTAAAATGATTTCAGAACTTCTGAGATCCTCGTAATATGTGTGAGTAGGCAAACGAAGACAGAAGTAAGTCTTTATTTTATCTTTTTCTCTCTTATCAATATTGGACAAAACTTGCACATGTGTGAGTCACTTATTATTCTCTTTTATCATATACTTGCTACCTATCATTATAATGGGCTCTCTCTTTCTCTCTATTGTTCCCTTTTAACATCATGAAGAAGGACAGCAAGACAAAAAAGAAAAAAAGAAAAAGAAAAAGAAAAAGTACATGCACAAGTCGATCGATAACTTTGTTCGTTCAGCACAAAATAAACATCATCACCAACTGTAATACACATTATATCAAAGATATCAATACTAAATTTCTTTTATTGGTATCACATGTGTGTATGTATCTTGTTCTGTTAGGTTAGATTAGCTTTTCTTGTTATATTATCTTCTCGTGTTGTAATATTAATTTTTTAAAGCTCTATTTAATTTGATTTTGATTTCTCTTTTTTTTTGTCTCATTTCTTTTTCTTTTCCTTCTCGTGTTACCTACATGTGTGTATAGAGAATAAATCGATATGTACATGTTTTGTTTTTCATCGATAATAACGGCTTCATTTTCTACAGCGTAGAAGTTTTGTTCAATAAAAAGA